TATTTAGCGTTCTTTAGACAGCTTATTTTTGCTTTTGAGAGAAGATTTGTTAGAATGAGAAATCGAGAAGTAGTTTGTTGTATGACAAAAAAGTTATAAACACCCAATAAAAAACCCGAGCTTAAAGTGTTTTACATGCTTTGTAATAGTAGCTTTGTTCCTTATATTAGTTGTTGGTATAAATTGTTAGTCTTGTTAGTTGTACTTCAACATAAATCATACACAAACAAATTGAGAGAGAGAGAGAGACATTCTAATCAAGAACACCTGTATACTTTTGACATCAATACATTTGCCGACATATTTATTTCTGCTTCTGTGTGTCTTGATTTGTGTTTGAATTGGTGATTTAGACTTGAAACTGAAATCACAATTGGTATCAGAGCAAACCAGAGTATCTGGATTGGATTTTGAATCGATTTCTATTGCTAATTTCTTGAATTCTTGATTTGAAGCTGTTTGGTTTCTGTTCTTACTGTCTTAATCAAATTGAGCCTGTTTAATCCCTTTTTAGTGAATTTGGTTGTGCTTAATTTGTTTCTGTGATGCTTTCACACTAATTTGTGTAGAAAATTTTGTTGATTTTGCATTTCTTGGGTGAATTTGGCGAATCCTTGAATTTCAGGTTCAAGTGATTTTTCATCAGACATTGAATATTCAACGAGTGATGAGGGGTTTTTCATCACACGTTGAATCTGTTCTTAGAAGCCTCATTGTCCATATGGTAGTTTCATCGCTCATGTGTTGTTGAATTTATTAAGTGTAAAATTTCTTCGCTCAAGTTGTTTTCATCGTTCAAAGTATATATCTCATCACCTGAAGTTGTGCTCATCGCTCAACTTGTTCTCATCTCTCAAGTTGCTCTCATCGCTCAAAGATTTGTATTCTCATCGTTTAATAGTGTTTCATCACTCAATATTTTTGTTGGTTATTCTTCTAAGTGTTGATCTCATCGCTCAACACTTGAGCGGATAAGTATTGCTTGTTCATCGCTTGAAGTGTGTCCGATAACCTCTTCATCGCACACTGAATTGTCCAATAACACTCTTCATCGCTCAACCTTCTGTCCAATAACCTCTTCATCGCTCAATCTTTATGTCTGATAACCTATCTTTGTGAGCGATAACCAACTATTAGAGCTCCATTTTGAATTCGTATAACTAACTGCAGATAAACGTAATCAAATACAAGATAAACATAATCAAATATAAGATAAACATCTCATTTTAAATAAAAAATTCAAAATATAATTAGAATAATTATTGAGTTCTAACAAAATTATTATCTTTATAAAAATTATATTGTTAAGTCAAAAATAAATTACTTC